CGATTTCCAAGCACCTGTTACGCACCAGGCTCTGTGCTCACCGTGAGAGTGCAAAGGTTCATGTCCACAGTGAGGACCTTAGTCTCAGAAGGAGACAAGCTGCTGGGCACGTGTGTGGTTTCACGTTGCCTTGACATTGGGAGCAGATGCACACGTAGTGAGGATGGAAGCACAGAAGAGCAGCGCCAGGAAGCAGCTACAGCCTGTGACTGCTACCCAGGACGGTTGGCTTGTTTCTGGAAGGCACCATCGTAAATAGCTTCTTTTTCCCACCAAGAAGCCAGTGAGCTCTTTAGGAAACCACCCAGCTTCATCACAGAGCTGAAGATCTGCTTCAGGTTTGCTAGAAGCAGAACTCGAGACAGAGGCTTGGTACTCATGCTTCGCTTTGGGAGCCCTCTCCGGGGAGCTTGTAAGAAAGAGAGAAAAGCAGACCAGGGCCGGGGAAAGGGTCACGCAGGGATGGGATCTCAGGTAAACCTAGACTTGTCCTGATCCATAAGTTGGGGCCGCTGGGCATCAGTGCAGGAGAGTTGCCATTGCTTGAGGTGAAGGGACTGGTCGTTTCTACCCCTGTATCAGTGGCTCTTTGGTCACTGAAGGCAGTCTCTGGGGAAGGGTGCTGTCCTTGTCAAATGCAGGCACCCAGCACTCACAGGCACTTTGGGGAGACATGAGCCAGCCTGGTGAGGGCAGCCTGGGCCAAGCCTTAGCCCGTGAAAGACAGAGGGTGAGCAGAAGCAGCCTGGAGCCCAGGCTTGCTGTGGTGACGGGCTCTGCGAAACCTGAAGTTTCGGGGAAAGGAAGCAAACATTTTGGTTTAGGGTATCACCAGGGTGATTTGAGAAGGTGAACTGCCATTTCCACCCATGACTTTCTGATCCAAGAATCCTGGCCATGGGATGAAGAACACTCTACATTGACCACTGATTTAGAGCAGGTACCACACGGTAGGGGTCTGTACCCTAGGCTCACCCACCTGCTGCCAAAACTGATCCTTCAAAAACCATTCTACCAATCTGTCAGGTCAGCTGTTTTAAGATGGAAAACCTGTTAAGTGCAGTAAATTTCAAGGACATCGCCCATTACTATACTTCATTTGCAGTCAGATGAATTCCTTAGTCAGAAGCAATGCCATGAGGAATACCATAATAATGGATAAGGCCTCCTGTAAGTCTATGGATGTTAGGAAGATTTAAGGGCTTGTAAAGGTATAAAAAGGCAAAGCCATATTCAGAGTACACTTCTCTTCCAGTCAGAACAAAGCACTGCTGCTTTCGGTGATGGAAGTAGTATGTAATCCAGATACCAGCAGCATCTGGCTGACTTCCCCAGGGAGTGGTGCTCTGTCGGTGCTGATCTTCACTCTTGGCAGGCTGGACACGCAGCAGTGCAGCTGGCTGTATCTGCATCAGTTTTCGTGAGGAGTAATCCGTTGCTGAGATCATGAATAACTTCTATCCTTGCTGTCGTGACACCTTTGTGAGCCCATTGGTCAAGGACTGCTGGCCGAGGACAGATAACTGATATCCACAGGTTGTATCATCAGGACACAAAGAGCGTCACACTGCGAGTCCATTCTGAGAGGCCTGTGTGCCTATGCCTTCTCCAGAGCCTGTAACTGTTTTTCTCTAATTGTGTTTCTTCCAAGTCCTTGCCCATCTAGCTCAGGACTTAGCCACAGGGCCCAATTTCTGAGTCACATGTGGACGTAGGAGTACAGGAGATTTCTCAGGGAAATAACATCGAACAAAACTAACCAGTTAATAGCACTGGTATGATCTTGACTCTTTCATGAAGCAGCCGTCCAATTTCATCCAATTGAAATCTACACTTTTGTTTTCTCATCTTTAAAAACTAGGAATTATCCAGGGAGGTCACTAACACGTCTCTCAATCTTGACATCGTATGATTCTGTGATTCTGCCACAGTAAGGATTGGAACTAAATCCCACAGAGAAGAAATCATTACCCATGAACAGACACTATTTTCCATTTCAGAATGCATTATGAAGCTTGTTGCATACAGTCCGGGATTGCTGTATAAATGGGTGGATTGTCCAAATGTCTCGAGTTAGATAGATTTGAGGATGGAATAGATGAACTTATAATGTATATGGTTATGATTAGATGATTTAATGACTCTTATCTGGTGAAGTTCCTAAAAGAAAAGAGGAAATTCCCTTTCCCCTTCTACCCCGGACACCGCACACACCCCATGCACACAGAAGCACCTGCTAAAGCTTTATGGGAGCTACCTGACAGCTGCTCCCGTGTGGAGGCTGTGGCTTCATTAATTTCCACCAAGCATTTGTAAAATGGGATAAATTCAAAGAAAATTAAACTAATGGTTTAATTAACGTAATTACTTGAACAGTAATGCAATGTAATTACTATAAAATAAATGAAGCAGAGTATTAGAGCCATGAAAGAAATTTATGACATCATTTGTGATTTTATTTTTAAGCTCTTTTAAAAATAAATCTCTATTAGGCCAGTTTGTCATCATGACACTGTGGGCAAAAGTGTGCTGTTACAATGACAGTTTAATTTGAAACAGAATTTCACATATTATAGATACTTTTAAGGCATTAAACATTTTGAACTGAGAATTTATTAAAATAGGCCTCTTAGGAATTTAAATGTTTGGACGCTAATTGAAAGTGATCTGTGGGAAAAATAAATTTGCCTTCGTAACTTAAATTTGGATGAATACAACCAATTTTTAAAGAATTTGCTTTTATAATACTTTATCAGAAATTTCTAAATAAATGGCACAAATGTTATCTTTCTTTCATCATGACTGCTATGGGCTGTTTCATTTCACATGTTGGGAGGTGACAGTTTCATTAACTCATCAAGCGTATGAGCAAAAGTCACCATATTGGGTGCAGCCTAGGATGCAAATATGAGGAAGTGTACTCAGGAGGTCCACAGTCTGGAGACGCAGGGAAGCCTGGCTTGCAGGCCAATAGGACGGGGGGCAAAAGCTGCTGTGTCTCCCCCCCAGGGTTCCCTCCGTCCCCATCTAGTGCGCCCCTTTCCTCACTGCTTCTGGCTCTGTGTGTACTCTGGTGTTGCTGCTTACTCTAGTGTAATATTTTTGGCGTTTCCTGCCTCTCAATTCCTGTGTCCCCTGCCCCAAATATATGCATTTAATATGTAAGTTGAATTGAATGTATTATAATTTAATCTGAGTACAAAGCAGTATATAAAGAGCTTTCAGAGGAGGAAGCTCTTACCTCTAGGTGAGCAAATGAGCAAGGGCTTCTGGCATTTCTATTTGAGATAGACTTGGGAGAACAGGCAGCATTTAGAAAGTTGTTGTGAGGAGCAATTGGAGGCAGAAGGAATAGTAAGAAACAGAGGCCGAAGAGCCTCTAAAGAAAAACCGTCTTTGCAGAACATCTCTTAAAATTGGACTAATGTACCTGGGAGCAGTGGCTCACAGCTGTAATTCCAGCACTTTGGGAAACTGAGGTGGGTGGATGGCTTGAGCCCAGGAATTCAAGACCAGCCTGAGAAAAATGGCAAAACCCTATCTCTACGAAAATACAAAAGTCAGCTTGGTGTGGTGGTGTGCACCTGTGGTCCCAGCTACTTGGGAGGCTGAGGAGGGAGGATCGCTTGAGCCCTGGAGGCGGAGGCTGGAGTGAGCCAACATCACAGCACTGCACTCCAGCCTGGGTGACAGAGCAAGACTCTGTCCCCCCCTAAAAACGACTAGAGTTAATTTTTCTATAATTAAATATGTGTTATATTAATTTAGAAAAGTATCAATTAGACTAGGGTTTAAGTTTTGTAACGTAAGTTCTTCATAAAAATCTAAAGAGAATTTCTGCATTTTCCTTTGGTCCAAGGTGAGGGAGTCGTAGAACCTGAACGTTTCTATGGTGTAAGACACTGTCTATGGTACTGGTCACAGATCATGACATCTCATGCTCAGCACTGCCTGGAGAGGAAGATGCTCATTATCCCATCGTCTAGGAGAGGAAACGGAAGCTTGGTGAGGTCAAGTAACTTGCCCCTGTTGGACAGTCAGTAGGAACGAAGCCACGTTCTCATCCAGACAGCTGACAACAGAGCCCTCTTTCAATTCCTGTGCTGTGGGATGAACAGAAGCTAGAGGCCCATTGAGAGCTGCTGAAGGACTAGAGAGGGAGTGAAGACTTGGAACTTAAGGAAGTTGTGGCTGGCTTGAGAAATAATGTGATATGAGATTTCTCAGGTGATGTAGAAGGCTCTAGAACAACCGATGGAATGCAAGTTTTCTGATCTCAGGACTTTTAATTCAAGAGAAGAGAAACCAACGTTTTGAAAGACAGCTGTTTTGAGCATGGAACAGGCCGTGTTCTGGGGAGCTGGGAACGTGTGAACCTTGGACTTGGTGTGACGGGTGGCAGTGGGCTGGCTTCCTGCTGGAACGGCCTCCACTTCATCTGCAGGGCGGTGGCCGCTGTGACATCAGGTCATCAGAGTACAGGAGCAGCTTCTTGTTTAGCAATTGTAAAGGAAACCCAGTGTGAACTGCTATTCACTGCATTTGGTTTTTTATTTTTATTAATTTTTTATTGTACTTTAGGTTCTGGGGTACATGTGCAGATCATGCAGGGTTATTGCATAGGTACATACATGGAAGGTGGTTTGCTGCCTTCATCTCCCCATCACCTATATCTGGCATTTCTCCCTTGTCATCCCTCCCCAACCCTGGCTGTCCCTCCCCCAGTTCCCCCAACTGACTGCAGTGTGTGATGCCCCCCTCCCTGTGTCCACGTGTTCTCATTGTTCAACACCCACCTACGAGTGAGCATGTGCGGTGTTTGGTTTTCTGTTCTTGTGTCAGTTTGCTGAGAATGATGGTTTCCAGGTTCATCCATGTCCCTGCGAAGGACACAAACTCATCCTTTTTTATGGCTGCCTAGTATTCCATGGTGTATATGTGCCACATTTTCTTTACCCAGTCTATCGTTGATGGATGTTTCCTAAACGTTTCTCTTTCAGGAAACATCTTCGTGGTGAGCTTAGCAGTGGCAGACCTGGTAGTGGCCGTTTATCCATACCCGTTGGTGCTGACCTCGATATTTAACAACGGGTGGAACCTGGGGCACCTGCACTGCCAAGTCAGTGGGTTCCTGATGGGCCTGAGCGTCATCGGCTCCATCTTCAACATCACCGGCATTGCCATCAACCGCTACTGCTACATCTGCCACAGCCTCCGCTACGACAAACTGTACAGCAGCAAGAACTCGCTCTGCTACGTGCTCCTCATCTGGCTCCTGACGCTCGCGGCCGTCCTGCCCAACCTCCGCGCTGGGACCCTCCAGTACGACCCCAGGATCTACTCCTGCACCTTCGCGCAGCCCGTCAGCTCTGCCTACACTGTCGCCCTGGTGGTTTTCCACTTCCTCGTCCCCATGGTCATTGTCACCTTCTGCTACCTGAGAATATGGATCCTGGTTCTCCAGGTCCGACGCAGGGTGAAGCCTGACCACAAGCCCAGGCTGAAACCACAGGACTTGAGGAACTTCGTCACCATGTTTGTGGTGTTCGTGCTCTTTGCTGTTTGCTGGGCTCCCCTGAACTTCATTGGTCTGGCCGTGGCCTCCGACCCGGCCAGCATGGTGCCCAGGATCCCGGAGTGGCTGTTTGTGGCCAGTTACTACATGGCGTATTTCAACAGCTGCCTCAATGCCATTATATACGGGCTGCTGAACCAAAACTTCAGGGAGGAATACAGGAGAATCATCGTCTCGCTCTGTACAGCCAAGATGTTCTTTGTGGATAGCTCCAACGATGTGGCAGATAGGGTCAAATGCAAACCGTCTCCACTGATGACCCACAAGAATCTGGTAAAGGTGGATTCTGTTTGAGAAAGCACCCCCTTCCTGGCCAGACGCACATGCTGCCCGAGGCCTCGCTCCTCTCTGCGTTTGCTTTCCTGTTGACAGAAGTCTAGGAAAACAGAGTGATGGAGGAGGCTTCCAACTTTCACCTGGTTGCTGCCATAGTTTGAGTTAAAGTGCTGTCAGCTTTCTGACCACATCTCCAATCTACTGGTCAAGGCAGTTACATGTTGACTGAGGAATGTGATTCAGGGCTTGGGGGAGAGTCAGCTGCTGAATGCATTCAGGTGAAGAAGGAGCGTGCAAACACACTGGAAGTGAGTGCCCCAAAGGGGGCAGCTGCATTCTTCTCCACTTTATGAAGATTTCCAGTGGAAAAACGAATAGAGAACTTTATTTATAAATGGATCAATTTGTTGTCTCATTTACAAAAAAAAAAAAAAAAAAAAAAAAGGAAAGGCTGAACATAAATCAGCTTATGGCTCATCAACAATCACAACCACAACCAACACCACAAACTTTCTGTTGGCAGAGTTAGCATTGGGTAGCTATAATCATGGCCATAAATGTTTGCTGCTCTATGATACAAGTTGTGCATGCAACCAGATAAATAAAGTATAGGCTGAGCATGGTGGCTCACACCTGTAATCTCAGCACTTTGGGAGGCTGAGGCCAGCAGATCACCTGAGCTCAGGAGTTTCAGACCACCCTGGACAACATGGTGAAACCCCGTCTCTAATAAAATGTAGCAAAGCTGTCACATACTAGAATAAATTACTGACTTGCAACTATATACATAAAAGAAAAAACAAAAAGTTAACTGGATATATTTGCTAATGATTCTTTTCATTAAGCATATTTGGAAAATACCAAATTATGATGAGTGTGTGTGTGTATAAGTTGTCTACAAAACTTTACCCAAGTTCTAGTTCTTACCAAAATCAAACTTAAATAGTAAAGATAATATTTAGGCCAGTGTTGCCAATTTCAGATAACCAAACCTTAAAAAATTAACCATGCTCAACTGAATGCTTTTTGCAGTTGATTTTATACTCTTTTCTTGATGCTTGGTATGAATTGCTATGTTGCTAAGTGTATACAGTGTGATTCCTTTGTTTTTTATGGAATTTTATTCACGTATTTCTGGATCGTACTATATTTGAATTGTATGTCAGCAAACATAGTGAATCAAAAACTGTGCCCTTTAAAAAGCTGCCAAGAATATCTTACTTGAAAATCAAGTGTGTAACTTTAAAATATTGAAATGATTTTTCACTATCATCAGAGTTAAAATATTGCCAATGAAACAGCTACTCATAAAGATCAAAGACCCAGGTTTCCCCTACTAGAATCCCCATGTAGGAGTCTCATAATCATTCATTTAAGGTATTTTCTCTGTTCCTCACTGTGATATCAGTAAGTAGAGCGCCCTTAGCTCTAAGTTTCTTTCCTCTTGAAAAACTTACATATGTAATCAGTTGTGCTTGATATTTTTAGTGTATAAATTATTCTGTAGTCTGTTTGGAAGATTAGCTCTTTCAAGATCATTAGATTAGGACTTATCAAATGAACTGCTGTGTAGTACAAATGGGTACCTGGGTAGTATCGTGTAATATCGCTGGAGATGTGCTGCTTATTTAAGGAAGCAGACTTTTTCATGAAATCTACTAAGCTGCGTTAATCAGCTATCAACCTGTATTAAGTATCTGCAGTCTATCAGAGTCACTTGTTTCCAGTGTAAATATCTTTGTCAGTCTCCCCTCTGCCTATGGGAATCGTAGTGGTGATGTGAGGGTTGACAAGAAGATAGTGATATTTGCCGTGGCATATTTGCAAATTCTAGGATTATTTTTACTTGTCTATAGCTGGGATTTTATTGCCTAGACTGGAGGCTTTGTGGGGCCAAAAATAGTACCTGTGTTATAACAGAGAAAAAAATGCCGCTTTTCGAAAGCACTTGGTGGGATCTGAGACTCTGGCTAGGCAAAGTCTACACATGCCACTTGACGAGGAATAAGGATCAGCATCTCTTCCTGTCTTGTCTTCTATCAGTTACAGGAATCCTGTGCAATTACAAGCATTCCATAATTTAAATACCGACATTAACATCCAGTTGGATTGCATAGATGGAAAAGTTTGACCATTCTAATTTACATAGATTATTTGAATATTATCACTGGACAGCGTGCTTCAGGTGTATTCTCCTGTGGAAAATGTAAATCATGTAGGATTACCATTTTTGCCTTTAGTGAATGTAACTTTTAAACACATATTGTTATGTTTTTCTTCTACCTGCTGGATCAGATTAACTGGGGACATACTCCCTATACTACATTATGTAAGCTTCATGGTCATATGAAATATGGCTTTTCTGTGTTGACAACTAAAGAGTTAATAGATATTATAGATTGGAGAACAGAATAACTTCAGTTTGCTCTATTGGGTGTCTCATTACCAAATATGTGTGTATGCGTAAATCATTGAATGCATAAGCAATCATATTTTTCTGACAAAACAGCAGAGCAACTTGATTTTCAATATGCTGGGAGGCAATTTGACAAGATAATCAATCTTAGATCTGAAATCCATAACGCTTAGCAATTAAACACATTCAACGTGAATGTCAGGTAATGAATTTTGATCATTTGTTGGACTACCTCTGATTCATCACCAAATATTTCACTGTGAATAAGCGAATACATTTGGCATATGTTTTTAAGTCAGTTTAAAGGCTGAATTCTTATATTTGGGGATTATGTGAATATAATCTATAAGCAGTACAACATAATTTTCAAAATTTCTTGTTCCATCCTTTTACTGTTATCTACTTTTATGCTTATAATTAAAGTATCTCCATTAAAAACGTCATTGTGTACAGTATAAAAAGTCCTCTAATCTCCGCAATGGTAGCACCTGCTTTGCTATATTGATTACAAGTTTTTGGAAATCTCCAGAGCCTGTAGGGGAAAATTTAGGGAATAAATGAAAGTGATTTTAGTTGTGTCAAATATTTACGTTGCTGATAAGTGCATAATTATTTTACCAAAGGTCTTTACCAAAGATTGAATGTCAACTAAATTTGTAAAATATAGGAAAAGGCCAAAAGGGAGAGATAGCTAACCAAATTCTTAATAGCCACGTAATGTAACGATAATTAACAAGGTAAACACTTAGTAATACACTAAATGATTACCAATAGACTGTTGTGGTGGTTGCAGTGTTTACAGGGTTGTGATTGAAGCTCTTGTGCTGTCAACTTACTGCCTATTAGGACATCCCTAACTGGGGTCACTTCACACTCATCTACCCCCAGAAGAACAATGAAGTTAAGCGTGCTGCACCTTGCTTGAAAGTGGTAAAGGAAAATTTAAATCAATGAAACTACAAAATCATAAAAAAAAATATTTTAGAATCACGACCCCTAATCATATATATTATTGTATTTTTTTTTCTCTGAAACAGTTTAATAGAAACAACTATTTAGGATTGTTTTTTACTGTTAGAGTTTAATGTGAGAGAACAAATTTGTGTATATTGTGTGTGTGTGTGTGTGTCTGTGTGCATACCGTTTATTTTAGCTAGCTAGCTGCTTTTTGTTTCTGTTGTAATGTTGATCTTAGGGAATATGAACAGCCTTTGAAGAGATAAAAGATCATTTAGATGTTGTGTGTGTTGTTAGTAATAATGAAATAATGCATTGTTCCTTGAAAAGAGTACCTTTATTATGAGGACACATTTCTGTGTTCTGATTACAGACGATATGATGAACATGCCTGTTTTAAAACCAATTGATTACCATTGCTTTTAAAAGGAGACACTTGTCTTTGTCCTTTTTTGTGATTATCTGGTGCTCCAATTTCTGATAGAACTGTTATGTTGCAGTGTGTGAAGTAGATGTGTCTAGTTTAGTAAGGAGAAGTAGAGAAAATTGCTTAGAATTAAAAAAAATGTATGGTACCTTTTCTTTCTATCATGATGTTCAACAAACCTATAAGAACTCTTGAGTTTTGGTGCACAAGGGACTAGTGATTATCCACCAAGCACCATCCTAATCAATACTGGATGAGCCTCAATGCTTATGACACAAGAGTAAGAATCAATTCAACTGCTCAGTTTGCATAGTAGAACATAACTGATTTCTGCCTAGAAAACTGTATCTTCATTAACTCTCTGACCATTGTGCTGGAGAATAAGTGTTTGCTTAGACAATGTTTAGAAAACTCAAAGTAGTTAAATATAAGATGTTAACTTGAATTCTGATATTGTTTTACACTGGTAACTATTTTCTTGCATTCTGGATATAAATTTTAATAAAAGTTGAGGAAGCTTGTTTTTTCAAAAGATGATTTAATTTTGTATTTTTGAAAATAGAGCCCATGGTGTAGTATACTTGCATGTTTTTACTTTTTTTACTCATATCTGTACCTTGTTACTGCCAAGGATGAACTTTAATGGAATCTTTGCTTGTATATATTTGTTTTAATTAAGTTATATGTGTATGTATGTACATAAGTGTACATATAGAAGTTATAAATATGATTTATGTCATTTTCAAGGTGGACAGTTTGTTTTTCCTGTTATTTGTTGTGAAGTAAACAAAAGTTGGTTAAGAATGGAGGGTTGCTGTGTGTGGTGGCTCACACCTGTAATCCCAATGACTCAAGAGGCACAGGTGGAAGGATCTCTTGAGGCCCAGAATTTGAGACCAGCCTGGACAACAATGAGACCCTGTCTCCTAAAAAGTAAAAAATGAGCTGGTAAAGATGAGATGCACCTGCAGTCCCAGTACTCAGGAGGCTAAGGCTCCCTGCTTGAGCCCAGGAGTTCAAGCTACAGTGAGCTATGATTGTACCACTGCACTCCAGCCTGGGCCAGAGAGTGAGACCATGTTTCTAAAAAAAGAGCAACCACAAAAAGGATGGAGAGTGGTTTTATAATTACTTAAGCTATGCATCTGTTTATAGACAATAGACCTGTCTCTTTGGTTTTGGCATTTTTCTCTGCAGAATTTAAATTAGTTATTCATATGTGTTCATGTACATACCTACATTATTGTGAGGATTCACTTAAGGTGGTAGCAAAAATATTAAACGAAAAATAGTAGAGAAAGTTACAGAATATAGTCTGAAACTCTTAGAAGGCTTAAAGGTTTTTCTATAGTTCTCGGCTGAAGGCAGCCAGAGTCTCTTTGCAAGCACCAGAGAGATTAAGGCACAAATACAAAAAAATGTGAGGAGTTAATCTAACTAACTTGTTTACTCATATGGTCTTAAAACTAACTTTTGAGCCAGGTTGCTGTCTCAGGGGAGATCAACCAAGGATATTACCCACTAATGGTGTTTGCTTTAGGCATCAGAACCTGTCCTTTGATCCTTAACCTCTAGTGGTGTTGACTCAAGCCTTTGTCAATTA